GCTTCGTTCTCGGTGAATACAGCAACAAACTGGCCTACCAAATAAGAACCAGCCTCAAATTTGCAAACTCTTTACTAGTACGCCACAGTCGGGATTGATGCAATTTGGCTCTAAACTGTGCTTGCCACTCTGGAGCAAATCGCAGCCGCTGCGTCGTGTGAGGCGCGTACGCAGACACCAGCGTGAGTGAATGCACGAAAAGACGAGGCAGGTGTGACCAGTTGCAGCAAAGACCAGACGCAGGCAGAGTATGAACCAGATCAACGTACGGGGTGCGGCGCATCTCTTCATGCACGAAGAAGCAGGCGAGGGGGCGTGGAAGGCGCGTCTGATACGCATCCCAATTGCCAGTTTCTGATGTCAGCGGCGCAGGCGCGAAGGAGTTCGAGGCCACGACCAATGCCACTGAGGGAGGAGATGCCGATACGACAATGTAGTCGGCAGCAGCACTACTACTTGTAGTGTCGAGGCAGCTGCAGTCAATTGCCCGTACATGCAAAAAGACGCAACCTTGCAAAGGGCAACGACACTCGAGGATCTTCTTCTACCGAATAGTCGACGTTATTAACTGTGCTTGAGCGGCAATCTAGTGAAGCGAAAAGCCCCTTGTGGTTTGCTCCGTTGGACAGACGCGCCGAAGGTCGTAGCGCAATGATATCGGTATGTTAGGTCTGCCAGCACACACGCTACGGGGACGACGAGAGAGACTTGTTTTCTGGTCATCTGAGTGCCCTTCGTGAGCATATAGTCCTTTGCGTAGCGAATATGCTGAGACGCCGACTCTGGAGGTCCGGTGTGCTGAGAGCGTTGACACAGGAACGTCGTCGACAGCGAAGCGATGACGGGCCCACCCATCGACTTGGCGCCGAGTATGCCCCAATGCACGGACAACCGGCGATATGTAGGCGTATGTGCTGCTACATGTATTAATAGTTTTGCTTCCCAAATAATGGCTCGTCCTCGCCGCACCAGCCATTTTGTTGCCATTGGCCAAGACAAGGTCGGACAACGACCAGCTTGTGTTGCGTAATCTAATTTTGACCCAGGCGTCAGTTGGTTTTGCGTTTAACGCCACGTCGCCGGAGTGCCTAGGACGTGGTTCGATGGGATTTGAGTCATTATACTAGGATGGACGAGCCCCTTGTCAACGACCACCGCACCTCTCACTGAGATGAGTTAACGTGTGCACCGTCTAGTATATCGCTGGTGGTGCAATGAAGGCAGCCTCAGTTCCAGGCACTCCAGGACCGTCCGATTTGCTGTGAGTCATCCGGTTGCTGAGTCATTGGTCCTACCCTTGAGTCATCACAGCGGTAGCACTCAAGAGAGCCGCCGGTCTTTGCAAACTCCTTATCTACAGGAAGGGAGTTCGTTTGTTGTGTACACTGCGCTCAGAAATGTGAATAAGCATAAGAATTCGGAAATACAGCGACTGCAAAGCAGGATTAGCACCGATGACCCTTCCTGGTAGGAGGCGATATTCAACCTGCTGCCTTCCGTACGCAGAATCTCCCAAGTTCGCAAAAGCAACGAGCAGTCCCTCATGGGCAGCGCAAGGAGCCCGCACTGCTTTCTGCGAAACACACGACATGGATATGGCCGGACGCTTGTCTGACACGTGCAACCTCGACTTGCCACAACAACATCGGCGTCGGCAGCGCTTCCTCCCTACCGAGACGCGAGCCATAGCATAGCATGAGCATCTATTGAGACTTGGTCAGTGGCTGAAGGTAGCGAGCGAAGGGTCCATTGCGCAAACCCCCGAGGTATCCGCCTACGTGCAAAAGATTAGTCTACTGCGTGTGGCCGTGACCCAACTTCAACCTGACTCACCTGGTGACACCCACGCGCAGCGCAGTGAGTCACGTGGGCGTGAGCCAATCATCGTCTCATTGGCTTAAAGGCCAACCAAACCTCTTCCCCTTCATCAAATGCTGGCCGGACAGTACAAGTTGAAGATTCCGCCGAATGACTCAGAAGCTTCGCGGTAAACCCTGACCGAGTAACTCTGCGCGATGCATTTGCATTTATTTTCTTAGTAGCATCCTGTGAAATTCCTGTTTGGATGGCCGTTTAGCCTATGCGGTACCCTTTCATGCAGAATTATGCATTTTCATGGCGCACATAAAACGCGTTTAAACACCAGTAGCCATAAAGCGTCCGGATATTACCAGCCGCGGATTGGTCGATGCGGAGAGAGGCAGTTGACATGTGCTGCGACGAGAGCGAGTCAGCAACATTGGGCAGAGTTTCCAAGAAGACGCCAAGAAGCATGTCGACGTCGACGCTGCATGACGCCGAGGCCGAGAAGCGCCTCAAACGCCGCGAGCAGTGGAAGATCAACCAGCGCAACAGCCGCCTCAAGCGCATGGGCATGGCCAAGACGCTCGAGGCCCAGAACGACGCCAAGGCCAAGGAGAACGAGCGCCTCGAAGGCGTGCTGCGAGCGATGGGCCAGCAGAGCGTCGACGAGCTGGAGCGCTACCCTGTGAGCGGCATGGCCGCCGTCCGCGTCATCGAAGAGTACTACCGCGTCTTCTCGAACGGGTTTGCGACCAACAATGTCGAGCAGCAAACGCGCCAGCGCAACTTTGTGCGAACCATCATGACGGAAGACACGTGCTTTATGGATACGCAGGGGGCGGAGAGCGTCCTCGAGCAGTGGCGCCTTATGACGAGCTCGCATCACACGCTGCGCATATTTCCACTCAGCTGTGAGCTCATGAAGGAGGGCGACAGCGTCGTCGTCCGCGCTGTCTCGCGCTACATGTGCCGCATCTCGCGCAACACGCTAGCGACTCTGTACCCACACGTCCTCGTCAACGAGCGGCTCGTGCAAGCGCTCATCGGCATCGAGGTCGACGCCATCGACACGGTGCACTCGTACTTCGACGATGACGGCCGCATCGTGCGCCACGATGTCGTGATCGACTTTGTCTCGCCGCTGCTCAAGCTCCTCGGCAACGTCGAAGACGTGGCTTCGGTCCTCTCGGGCGCCCACTTGACCTCGATAGGCCTTTTCGATATCGAGCGCAACCACGGCTCGCCGCTTCTCCGGCCGCAAGTCAAGACCGAGTCAGACCCAGTGTCGCCGCTTGCGATCGGCGAGCCGTGCGCCAAGCGCCAGCGCCGGGACAACGACCTCCACTTGCTCCTGTCGAACTGAGCGCTGTATCTATTGCCATGACACTACTAGTCGTGCTAACTATAATTAAGTTGAGCCACCCGTTGGGTGCAGTCGCGCCGACCGACCGGCGGTCGCCCGCTCGTCCCAGCCCCCTCAGCCTGCTGCAAGCGCGAGCTTCGTGGCAACCACTGCCTCGTCACACGGTTTGATGTTCGAATCTTCGAGAGTCGAAGTTCGCAGACGCAAAACGAACTTTGGCGAATGGCTCGACGTATTTCGCACTTGAGCGGACTGCAACCATGTGCTACGTAAAGAGGCTTTTTAATGGGTAATGCTTCTTAACTACCGGATACGATCCGGATATGGATTGCCGTGGATCTGCTCGGCGTACGCTCGCACATCTCGGCGCCAACGGCCGTTGCCAGTCGCCACTTTGCCTTTGCCTTTGCCGATGACACTCACCTCCGCCTTCAAGGGCCTTCTGCGCCGCCCCGACTTGATCCAGTCCCAAGGCTACATTGGTGGCCGCTGGCTCAATGCCATCTCGGGTGCGCTTCCATGCAACACCCTGTGCCACTGACCAGCGTGTTTGTAGGTGCCACGTACACGGTCATTGATCCGTCCTTGGACGCACCCTTGGGCGACGTGGCGGCCATGGACGCGGCCGACACCAAGGCAGCCATTGATGCGGCCGACGTGGCGTTCCACGAGTGGAAGAAAACGACGCCGACGCACCGCGCGGCGATTCTCCAGAAATGGGACCGCCTCCTGCGCGAAAACGAGCTGGACCTTGGCATGATCATGGCCAAGGAGAGCGGCAAGCCGATTGCCGAGGCCATTGGCGAAGTGTCGTATGCGGCCGACTACCTCAAGTTTTTCGGGCACGAAGCGCTGCGCTACGAAGGCTTTATGATCCCGAGCCACGCCGCGGGCCGTCGCATGATGGCCATGCGCCAGCCTGTCGGTGTCTGCGCCATGATCACGCCTTGGAACTTCCCCATTGGCATGCTCGCGCGCAAGGTCGGACCTGCGCTTGCGGCCGGCTGCACGGCCGTCGTCAAGCCCGCCGAGTCGACGCCGCTCTCGGCGCTCGCGTTCGCCAAGCTCGGCGAGGAGGCTGGCGTGCCCGCTGGTGTCATGAACATTGTGCCGAGCCCGCGCGAGGCCGCGGCCGAGATTGGCCGTACCCTCTCGACGGCGACGCAAGTATGTCAAGTTGCCTCTTTCGAACCCAAGTCTTATCCTACTATGCTAGGTGCGCAAGCTCACATTTACGGGCTCGACGGTTGTCGGCAAGCTCCTCACAGAGCAGTGTGCGAGCACGTTGAAGAAGGTGTCGATGGAGCTTGGCGGACTTGCGCCGTTCATCGTGTTTGACGACGCCGATATCCCCGAAGCTGTCGAGGGCCTCGTCCAGGCCAAGTTTCGCAACACGGGCCAGACGTGCGTGTGCCCCAACCGCGTGTACGTGCAGGAAGGCAGCTTTGACGCGTTTGCGGCCGCGCTTGTGGCGCGCGTCGCGCAGCTCAAGCAAGGCATTGCACACGAGCGCGGCTTTGACCTTGGTCCGCTCATCAACGCGGGTGCCGTGACCAAGGTCCGCTTCTTCGCCATCTTGTGGTCTCTCAGATCTGAGATCTGACATGGGTGTGCATTGTAGTTGACGGCGGTGGTTGAGGATGCGGTTGCGCACGGTGCGACGGCGCTGCTTGGCGCGACCCCGAGTCCGCTCGGCCCGGCGTACATGACACCGACCGTGCTCACCAACGTGACGCCGGCCATGCGCGTCGCCAACGAAGAGTGCTTTGGCCCGATCGTCGCGCTTCAGAAGTTTTCGACCGAAGACGAAGTCGTCAAGGTGGCCAACGCCACTGAAATGGGTCTCGCCGCCTATTGCTTCACAAAGGACCTCGGACGCGCGTGGCGCATGTCGGAGAACCTCGAGGCGGGCATGGTCGGCATCAACGTCGGCCTCATCTCGGCCGTCCAGGCGCCGTTTGGCGGCATCAAGCAGTCGGGCCTCGGCCGCGAAGGCTCGATCATCGGCATGGTACGAACTCGTGTCTTGGAATTGGAATGGTCTCTGATGATCGCGATTTATGTAGGACGACTACACGGAACTCAAGTACGTCTGCATGGGCGGCCTCGCATAGACAACCTACTAACTACAATAGAAGTCCAGTGTTCATATTCATGTCTAAAGTGTTAAACCGGTGTTGCTTCGCGGTTGATCCTTTGTTTACTACGTTTTTGGTGGTACCTAATGCACGGAGGCGCTGTGTTGAGCTTTGCGGCGAGAAGAGGCGGAGCGCTAGCCTTAACTTAGAACCCCAACTGACGCGGACAGCGCTGTACGTCGCAAGCTCTGGCAATCAAAAAATGTTGGCGCGAGATCCATTAAGCATTTAAAACTCAAAGGACTATAACGTTATTCGAGTTATTCGAGCCCATCACGTGTGGGTGGATCCCACGTTGACTCGCCCGTGCGTGTGTTGTACCAAAACACAGCGCCGTTCTCTTCCATGGGCTGCCACTCGGGCGTCGTGCCAACCTCGTCGGGCGGGGTAGGGTTGGCCTCAGCTTCCACCTCGCGCCACCGCATTTCTTCGACGAGGCCGTCGGCTTTGGCCCACTCTTTGGCCTCGACCGCGTCTGCCAGCCACGCTGCATGCACATCGCGGCCAGCGTACGCGACCGGTCCTTTCTCATTGGCGGCGTCCAGCTTGGCCTTTAACGTCAACGGCATGCGGTTCGCCGCGGCCTCGTCGTCGCGGGAGCTGCGCGGCGTGAGCGACCAGCGCGTCTCGCCCGTGATCGTGTTAAAGTAGTAGACAACGCCGGTCTCAGCGTCCGCGTGCTCTTCCCAGATCGAGCCAATGTCGCGCGTCTTTGTAAACCGCCGCGCCGAGAGCGTATTCTTCTCGGTCTGTTCGTTGAACCACTCAAGGCCTTGCGACGGCGACGCTTGTGTCACAGGCACGTCAAAGTCGTCGGGCTTTGTCCATCGGCACTCAGTCGTGAGCTGATTGTAGTAGTACGGTAGCTGGTACGACTCGTCAAAGCACTCGGTCCACGGCGACCGCGGCGACGATCGCTTCACGAGCCGCCTACTCTCGTCATCCACGTCGTAACCGTAGTAGTACTGCCACTGTATCGGCACGTCGGCGCGCTCGAGGCTATGTACCGACCGCCGCCCGGTCGAGACGCGGCCCGAGTGCGCTCGTGTCGGTGGCAGCGTCCATGTCGACTCGCCTGTCTCGGGGTGGTAGTAGTACGTCGAGTTGGACACTGGATCCACATGCTCTTCCCAGGCGCCGATGCGCCGCGTTCGAATAGCTCGCTGCGTCAACTCGTCTTTCTTTTGGGCTTCAAAGACGTCGCGGGCGCTCGTCGTTGCCTCCGGTGGCTCCCACCGGTACTCGTGCGTCTCGCGGTTGAAGTAGTAGAACGCGTGGGTTGTCTCGTCGCGGCACTGGTACCACGACGTGCCCTTGTACGGTGGCACAAAGCTGTCGCCAAAGATGCCCATTGCGAGCGGCCGCACACGCCGCGTCTCCTGGCTCCACGCGTTGACGTAGTAGAGCCGCTCGAGTACCGGATCGTAGAGCTCGATCCAGCGGTTTGAACCTTCGGCAACGGCCGCGCGGACGCGGTACCCGCGAAAGAGCCGCTGCAGCGCAATCGCACCTCCGCGCTGCGCACGCACTTGGTGCTGGAGGCGACTCACGCGACTCGCCTTGGTCTTGCGCTCGACGCCTTCGGTGAGCGGCTGTAGCTCGCGCTTGGCGAAGCGCAGCTGCTTCTCGCTTTCATTGAGCTCGGCGACCGCGAGCTCGAGGTTGCGGCTCTCGACCGCGACGAGCATGCGCTTCTTCTGGAGCTGGTCCGCGAGCTGCGCTTGGAGGTACCGGGTAAGGTACCGCTGCTTGGCCCCCGTGATCCGCGCCGAGTCGTGAAATTTCGATTTGATCGTCATGGTCTTCTCGAGCTCACTTGCGATCGCAGCCTACGACCAAGGACATCGAGCTCTCGTGGGCGAGACAAGCAACGTACCTCGTCGGCTTGGTCGGCCGCCAGCGCTGACGAAAGCGTCTCGACCGATGTTTTGAGCCCGACAACCGCCTTTTCAAACTTGGCGATGCGAACGTACAAAGGCTTGGCCTGGCCTTCGAGCTTGCGCAGTTCGATTTGCACGTCATGGGCTTCGCGTCCTTTATGCCCCCGAAACACACGCTGGATCGTTGTCGCGCCACGTTCGCGCGAGAGTTTGAGCCGGAGCACCTCCTTCATCGCGCGGAGCAGCCCCCGCGTGAGGAACGCGCGGCATCGGCTCTGAATCACGCGCGCGGCCTCGTGCTCGCGTCGACGCAGATACACAAGCCCGAGCATAATGGCGCCCAAGTGCTTTTCACGCGTGCCGCGCCAGTGCTTTTGGATGCACACGATCGCGCGAAGCTTGGCGGCTTCGGCGTCTTGGGCGGCAGCGATCTTGGCCTGCTGGCGCGTCTGGAAGCGGCGGTACGAAGCTTGCATGGTAGTCGCTTTGGCGTGCTGGTTTTGGAGCTCTTGCAGCTGGAGCAGGCGCAGCTGGTATGCTTTTCGTCCGCGGTGGCCGCGGTAGATGCGCTGGAGCATCGCCGCTGCGACCCGCTCCTTCTCGCGCTGCAGCCGCGCGGACTCGCGCATCTGACGTAAGAGGAGACAGTCGCCGCGGCCTTTGTGCCCGCGGTACATTTGCTGGACTTTGATGGCTGCGAGTTCAAAAAGCACCGCGCGCCGCGCCTCGAGCTGGGCATGGGCGGCCTTGCGCGCGCGCATCTGTGCAACACGCTTGCGTCCCTTGTGCCCGCGATACATCTACGCGAAAACTGTCTTTGTCAATGCACGAACGACCAAAATGTACTTTTTGAAAGATGATGGCGGCCGCTTCTTGGCTGTTGCGAATGCGCAAAAGCCGCCGCGCACGCCGACACATGCGCCGCACGAGGCACTGGCGATAGGCGCGTTGAATGATCTGAGCCATGACGAGCTGGAGGCGGGCGAGAAGCAGTTGGCGGTACGCGCTGCGGGCAAGCCATCCCCGGATGCGCGCCTGGATCTTGGGCAACGTCGTGCGCTCGACGCGCCGGAGCTTGGCGCCGTAGACACCGCCGCGCGCGAGGCACCCTCGCATGACAGCTTGGATCTGGATCGCGCTTTGGCGCTCGAGAATCCGACGCTCTTTCTATGGCATTTTCTCAAAAACACTGAAAACGAAGACAATTTGACATACGCGCAGCTGGAGGTCCATGGCGTTGGGCAGCGGCTCAATGCCAAAGAAGGCGCTCGACCAGTCGACAAACTCGAGGCGCGCGACGAGCTACTCTGCTCATGAGATACGAACATGGCGACGATGCACCTCGTGGAGGTAGCGGCGACGAATGTGAGGGCACTCGGTCATGTTGAGTGTAAACAGCTTGGTACATTGGGTCGTGATGGCGTCGATGCCGGCCTCGGTGATGCGACCGCAGTTGACAAGGGACAGTGACGTGAGCGACCGCAAGTGATCGCCGAGCGTCCGCAGCACCTAACACACTTCTTCAAAGCCCTTTTCATATTCAACGAGTAATGAGTACCTTGTCGTTGACGTGCTGGCAGTCGGAGAGATTGAGGTGCGTCAGCGACGTGCAGTGCTGCGCGAGCGCTGCGATGCCTCGGTTCGAGAGATTTGGGCTCCCGCTAATGTCGAGCCAAACGAGCTCCTTGCATGAGGCGGCGAGCAAGACCAGATCTTCGTTGCGCGTTTTGACGCAGCCAGCGAGCGAGAGCCGCATGAGCGCGTGGCACTTGGAAGCAAGCTCCTGGATCGAGATGCTGCTCACGTCGCGACAGCCCGTGAGCTTGAGCGTCGAGAGGCGCGGGCAGCCGTTTGCGATCGCGCGGATGCCCATGTCGCGGACGTGCCGACAGCCAAAGAGGTCTAAATGCTTGAGGTTCCCGCACCACTTGCCGAGCTCGAGGAGCGCCTTGTCACCAAACTCGCCGACGTGCTGGCACTCGGAGACGTCGATGTACGTGAGGCCTTTGCAGCACTGCGCAATCTTGGCGATGCCGACGTCCGTCACATGCGGGCAGCGCGCGAGAATGAACGTCTCGATCATCCAGCAGCCCGCGGCCAGCGTTGCAAGCGCGAGGTCACCGAGCTGCTTGCAGTCACTCAGATCCACGGTCACGAGTTTGCAGTTGTGGGCGAGCACGCGCAGACCGAGGTCGGTGATGCGCTCGCATTGGCTCATGTAGATGCCCGTAAGCGACGGACAGTGCTTGGCAACCGCCCTACGCTAGCGCTCAACGACATACCGTTGACAGCGTACGATTGTAGTACCACAAGCACGCATCCGAGACGTCGACGCAGTGCGAGAGCCGAAGCGTCTTGAGACCTGGCAGCATACGCGCCACCTCCTGCACGTCGGCGTCCGTGACGGCACGGCCCGTGTCGACAGCGTGCTTGTGCAAGTCGATGTCGCTGCGAAACGTGCCCATGTCGTCGGCCAAAAAGTTCTGCACGAACGACCGCATGCGCCTACGCCCACACGCTTCAAACGACTCCGACGAAGCATGCAGCGCACCGAGGACTCTTGCCGTCGCTTCGAAGCGGCTGCAGCTGCGTATTGACGCCCGGCGAGCGCGGTCGCTTCTTGGCCCACGATGTCATCGCTGTCGGCTTGCTGGTTGCCACGGGGTCGTGCCACACCTCGAGCGGGCGGCCCGCCGGCCGTGTAAAGAGCAGCGCCGCATCGGGCAGGCTCTGTACCTTCGCGTCGAGGCCGTTGTTGTCGACGCGCGTCGGGTCATCGCCCATCGGCGCGCGCTGGATCGGAGGCAGCGACGGCTTGGCCTCGTCGCGTGGCATCGTGCCCTTTCGGCGTGGCGCGCACCTCTATGAATTGATATTGCACGATGCATTCTGGGAGGTCTATTCCAGAATCCAGCACACGTCCAAGCTGCAGCATGGTCGACATCAACATCATGGGTCCGGTCAAGACGACGCGAAGAGGACGATGGCTCATGCACATGATGGTGTAGAGAAGGCGACGTCGGGCGAGGTGCTTCATGACTTTGGCGCGCTCAACACGCTCCTCTTCGTCATCATCCTCGGCATGTGCATCGTCTGCGCCTACTTGATCAAGGAGTACCGGTTCTACTACCTGCCCGAGTCGGGCGCCGCCATGATCGTCGGGCTCATCGTCGGCGCATGGTACTGTGCTCTTGATCGGTACCGAGGACGATGCGGTGTGTAGCGCGCGCCTGTTTTACCCGAGCCGCAAGGAAATGGAGTTTCTGCGCTTCAACGTACGTGCGTCCGCCCGCGCCGGAGCTCATGCACCGAGGGTAGAAGCTGCTGTTTTACTTCTTCCTACTGCCGCCCATCATCTTTGAAGCCGGCTACTCGCTCCATCGGGTACAGTCGCGCGATTCTCGTCCTCGAGGAGCTCATCCCATTTGGGTAGAAAAACTTCTTTGACAACTTTAGGTAGACATTTCGAGCGTGCAAGCGTTGTTGTCTGCACCAAGTGTAGTACGATCCTGCTCTACGCTGTGCTGGGGACGATGGTGTCGACGTTCATTGTTGGGTTCTTGACCTTCTACGCTGGCCAGGTAGGACGATGCTCTGTGTTCATTCGTCGTGACGGGACCTTGACCAGCTCGGATGGATCTCGATCGATACGTCAAGTCCGCTGGAGGCACTACTTTTTGGCGCGCTCATCTCGGCAGTGGACCCTGTCGCAACGCTCTCGATCCTCGGCAACCCCGAACTCAATTTGGACCCGCTCTTGTACAGCCTCGTGTTTGGGGAGAGTGTCCTCAACGACGCCGTCTCGATTGTGCTCTTCAACACCTTTCTCAAGGTACATTTTTCGCTATTTCCTAGTTTTTATCTCGAATTTTTTCTAGTTTTACGAGTCGGGGCACGAATTCACGCCATATGCGGTCGGCATGCTCCTCATCGAGTTTACGTTTATCTCGCTCGGGTCGGTCGCGTGTGGATTTGTCACGGGGTACTATCCGTCTTGCGCGTGCGATGGATATGTATGGGGTATGTAGGCTGGGCTGCTCGCTCCTCTGCAAGAATACCAACATCAAAAAGTACCCCAAGTACGAGATCGCGCTCCTCTTCCTCTTTGCGTACGGGTCGTATTCGCTGGCCGAAGTCATGAAGCTCTCGGGCATCATGTCTCTCTTCTTCTGCGGCATCACGATGGCCCACTACAACACGTACAACCTCTCGCCGTCGTCGCAGGTACGACTCTCTCCCTCACGTCTTCAGTAGACAAAATAGATATATGCGGTTAGGTGACGGCCGAGTCGATCTTTCAGAGCTTTGCGCTCGCAGCCGAATTTTTTGTGTTTTTGTACATGGGCATGGGCATTTGCGTCGGCCAATTTGGCCGGTGGGACATCACCTTTATGGTGCTCGCGATCCTCTTTTGCCTCATTGCGCGGCTCTTCAACATCTTCCCGTTCAGCTGGCTCGCCAACCTCGGGTACCACGCACCGTGTCTATGCCTAGCAACGACGCGTCGCGTAGGCGGTCGCAGAAGATCCCGTTTCAAATGCAAGTGGTCCTGTGGTTTGCGGGTCTCCGTGGCGCGATCGCGTTCGCCCTGTCCCAGTACTACTACGCAACACACCAATAATCGTTGATACGTACTACCAAAGCGCGATGTAGAGACATGCCCGGCGCCAACCGCGACGTGTACACGACGACGACGCTCACCGGTTTGTATCGCGATGCTGGATGCAGCGGTTGATGACCTCGGGTAGTGGTCATTTTCACCACAATTGTGTGTGGCGGCTTGACCGAGCCTTTGCTCAAGCAGACCAAACTCAAGGTGTTTTGCACCACAGATGCACGCTTTTGCTATGTATTACGTACATAGAAGAGCGACGACGACGACGAAGAGGATGACGATGCTTCATGTGCCGAAGACGAGTGCGGTCTCTTGTCATCAACCGAGGTACGCGTTATGCGTTCGGATATGCCGGAACCGTTGGTGCAGGTGTCGGACCACGCTGACGTGTCGCCACTTCAAGTCCCGCGCCGTCGCCAGTCGTCGGCCACGGAGCGTGTGGCCTCGCCAAGCTACCTCGGGTCGTTCTGGGGCAACGTATGACGTCGGTATTCCTCTCATCGGACGCTGAGGTTTGGCGTTAGATTGACGAAACGTACCTTAAGCCAGTCTTTGGAGGTCAAAAAGCCCGCCGAGCGTGTGTACGTCCATGCACTGCCTCGCATTTTACAACTTTGTCGACTCGTAGGTAGACGACGAAGCCCACCACGAGTAGCAAGAATACGATCTTTCGAGTTAAGTCACACGGCGCAAGTTGGTGCCTTGTTGGATCTGCGCCAGCAAATTGGCACGCGCCGGAGGTGCACTAACTACTGGTGGTGCTGCTGGTTGAGACTTACTGCATGTCGGCGGCGGTGGCGGTGGTGGCTCAATCACCTCGGGCGCCCGCGGTCCTTCGGCCTTCTTCTTGTCTTTGGGCTTCTTTTTAGTCGTCATTGGCTTCGTGACGGCGCTGACAGCGTCAGTCTTGGGTGTACTAGGTGCTGGCGTCGCTTTCGCCTTGGGTTTGGTCGGAGACTTTGTCTTTTCCTACTCGAGTAATCGTGCCGCTGTACACGCTGCAAGGACCCTGATTCTACCTGGCTCGGCGTCCGCGTGCGCGCTTCCTTCTTTGTCAAAACAACATCCTAGCATACAACCACAATGAGTGCGGTATGGGACCACTCAATCGACGTACCTCGTGGCTGCAGTGCGCGTCAAACTCGAAAAAGCCCTGGCAGGACGCTTGGTGCTTTCTTAGTTGATCGCTAGTCGACTATACCTTGAGCGCCGCATTGCCCGTCGGTGTAAGAAAAGCCACAGCGTCTCGAATCTCGACCACCTAGAATAGATCCATAGGATATCTCGAGTCTAGAAGCTCTGAACCTTGCAAAGGTACGTGTCGAGGGCCGTCCGGCGCTGGGCGAGGAAGGCGTCGTCCAGCGCGTGACCAAGCAGCGTCCGCAGGGCATCGCGCTTTTGCTGCGGAAACGGAATACCGCTCATTGGTAACGCAGTGCGCAAGACGCTGTCGAGCGATGCAAAGTGGGCGAACCGATGCCAGACGACCCACTCGATCGACAAGTGGCGCGCATACGCGACGTTGAAGAAGCGGCACGCGCACTGCACCTTGTACTCCTACCTCAAAACAAACATTTTGAAATCGCTTGTGATTTAGTATCCTCGTACGGCGTAGCCAGCGTCCACGCGCACATCCGCGACGCGCGCGGCAAAGGAAAAGTCGTCGGTCTCTTGCTTGGCAAACGTGGCGTGCTGGCGCGGACCATGCGACGCAACCTGCAGCAACTTGGCACTCCACGCCTTCTTGGCACCATCGTCGGCGAAACCGAGACAGACGACGTCGCCATTCGAGAGGTGCAGCAGAATGCAGTAGGGCATCGCGTCCGTGTCAATGCCGTGCGTGGGCGCACCGGGAAGAGGCGTCGAGACGTCAGCGCCGTGCAACGGCAGCGCCCATTTGGTCTCAGCTATCGTGCGGTCCTACGCCAATGCAAACGTCAGGCGATGCAATTTGAGTCGTCGTACGCGGTAGCAGAAGAGCTGCGCCGAAATGTCGTCAAGCTTGATATAGCGCGTATGCCACGCGCGGTCGGTCGAGGCCGTCGACGCGACGTGGACTTGGCCTTCCATCGCCACGGAAAATGCAGCGAACCGAAAGGCGATCTCTGAAACGCACATTTTGACAAATTTCGACCATCCATTTCAAAGATTTCTAGGATACCGTCACAAGCTGGAAACCATAAACAACGCAGTGACCCATTTGACAGCAGAAGGTTCAATTCATACGAGTCACCGTTTGTGGACCGTCTGCCTCCTGGCATTCGACGACGACGCTGTCGAGTGCCCATTCGTCATAAACACGTCAGTAGCGACAAATGATTGAAGTTGCAGTTGGACAATGGGTAGGTATGCAAGGTCGTATGATCTGTGTCGGCTACTGCAACTGTGGCGCAAGCGGTTCCTCCTGCTCTTGAGTGTGTTCCAAACACCTTCCCGTGGATTTCAGGATATTGTGCAATGTTGGTGATGTGCTCGTGCCACGTTGAAGGTACCATACGATATGCGCACGACATACCGGAGAATAAATGCCTCCAGAGCAGAGCTCCGCCGATCCGACTGTTGGGTTTTACCTTGGAAATCGTGACGGAGCGTGTCGCTCGCACGCTCGTTGTTCGAGGTTTCGGGCGGGCGGCGCCAATCGCAAGGCGTGGTTTGACCGAACATTGGCCCAACCCTACCGCAAAGACCGTCTGTCTTTGCCACCTTGAAGCTGGTCGCGTGTTCTCGACTGTTTTCTCAACACCCACGTATCCTTTTCTGATCGGTCATTATCCAATTCGCCGCGTTGTGAAGATGACGTCCTTCAAGACCACTGAAGCCGTCGCCGACCCCGTCACCTGCGCCTCGACAATCGCGGCGCTCACGCGCACCTTCTTCATGCCGCTCTGGAAGCCGTGCTTCTGGTCGTTGACCAACTCGATGCTCCGCGTCGGTGCCACCAAGCACGAGGTCGAGCTCGGCCAGCGCATCAAGACGTACACGGTCGTCCGAGGCACCAAGTGGGACGAGAAGCCCTTTGGTCTGCAGATCGAGACCATCGAAGTCGGCACCATGTACGCGTGCTTGTCCACCAAGTCGCTCTGGGCGGCATGGATCCACGCCTTCTTGCTTCTGGACCTCAAGCGCGGCCTGCACCGAAGCCTCTCGGAGATCCCGCTGCCGTCCAACCACCAGGAACCCGTGTCGGATGCGAAGCGGCGTGTTTCGTTTGCCGGCTACGTGCAAGTGCGGGAGATTCCCGCGCTCTCGGACGACGAGTCCGACGAGCTTTTTTACAACAAGTCGGAGCTCCTCGCGTTCAAAATCATGGCGACCCAGCTGCGCACGAGTTTTGCCAGCGTGCACTACTGAGAGCCATACCGTGACACAATGTCTAGAATTATTGCTAACTTATATAATATCTTATGATAATACTACGAGACTAGGAAGATGGGTTTCCGTGGCGCCATGTCGTAGTATCGTATCACGAGGATGCTTCGATGCAGTGACCTCAACGACAACCTTTACCCGCGAGCAAACTCTACGCAGCGATAGAAAGGCTGTCGCCAGCTTGTGCGCTCCAGTTGTGCAGTCTTGCGCACTGCCGGATAGTGGCATCGAAGGTGTGTCTTGTCCGGATACTACGAAGTATGGATATGGTTGCATGAAGTTCTGTTGCACCAAAGATGGCTGCGCGCACTGATTTCACGACTCAAAACTCGAGACTCCAAGTATTTGCATCTCAATTTGCGATTGATTGACATCACTACGACCGCCTTGCTTGAGTGCATACATCAGTGTGTGCACTCAAGGGCTCAATCTCGTCTGATCCAGTGCAAGGCTTTTTAAGTCCTTTGGCACATATGTAGCGCATTGCAGCAGTTGAGCACGCTTGTGCAATTAATGCATGGACAATGCGGAACGTCTCTATCATCTATGCATTCCCTTCACCCAGATCCGTTGTACCAAAAATCCTTCTCGCTCTATAAGCTTATTGTTGCAGTGGGCCGTCCATTTGAGCTTTTGGGTCCGACTGCTCACCGTGTTTGTCTGGGGTTTCGCACTCGCATTGCTAACCAAGTCTTGTACTGGTAAAGAGCGCCATCGTGAAAGAGAGAGGGTGCCGTTGAAGTTCTAACGAGCACGTAAACGGAAGCGACCAAGCCACAAGGTCGCAGAGGTGGGGAACCGTACACCACAGTCAATGACTCGTTATCACCGGAATAGTAGTTCAGATAGCTTGCGTATATCAAATCAATAGTTCTTGGCACCAAGCTTTGTGCGAGAGAAAGTTCAACAATACGAAAAACCGGCAAACACCAAATTGGAAAAACCTTCCTACAGACGAAATCCAACCTCAGAAGCCATGGATTGATGCATGATTGCGATGTTGCGCTCCATTGGGCTTGACTATTAGTATTCCAATGCCTATGTGAGTGCATGCATGGTTGCTAACCGACGACTACCGCATAAATTGTGGGGAGTTAACAAACAGCCCCAGTAAAAGCGAAGAAGAGAAGAAGAGAAGATCGGCTTACGAAAGACGCACCATCGTCCCATCGTGCCGTCGACCATCGCCATGCCTTTACGTTGGTAGGTACCACGGCTCGTTTCTCAACGACGTAGTAGCAACCGAGCTACAAGTACGTAGTGGATGCTTTTCTACGCAAAAGTACGATATAGCGGCGCGGTCTCAACAAGCGTGTGAACAAAGCTTCTCCAGTTTTGCATTGATTCCAAGTATTTCCCGACACGCTGCAAGAACACACGCACAGAGCCCAAACAAAGTGATGAACCGCCGGCGACAGCTTCATTCACTCGT